TACAGGTGGAGCTGTGGGAGCTGAACTGGGATGGGGATGGAGGCCTGCCTGGAGAGCGGTGGATTCCTGTGAGGGGGACCTGCACACTGGCTGGTTCTGGGGGGTGGTTTGGTGGGGAGCAGGATGAGTGCCAGCAGATGGCACTCTGGAATGCACGGCACAGCCTCTTCACTGTGCAGAACCTGCTCTGAAATGGCTTCCTCAGCTTCTCTGTGCAGCCACTCGGGGCTGGGGCTGGATGCTGTGGTCCAGCACACTCTACCCCAGCTCACCCTCCAACCTCACCCTCTTCAGAGCCAGCATCTCCTGTTTGCAGACCTTGTGCCCTACATCCTCACCTCCTCACCAAGGTGTTTCTCCAGCCCCTTCTTTGCTCTACCTGGGTGCTGGGTTCCAAGGACAATGAGGCTGAAGGTCCCCTCCTGCCAAAAGGGGATGTTTGGGGACCCCAGCTTGAGGTTTTGGTGCTCGGGTTGGGAATGTGAGCATCGTGGGGAGGAGGGCTGGGAGCAAAAGCATGCGGAGCCTGTTTATTTTCTGTCCCTGGGGTGGTAGGCGCTCACCTCTGCCTCGAATTACAAGTCATGTCACATCTTGGGAGGCTTGAAATTGTGTTTCTCAGCAATGTTCCTAAAGAGATTAGAAGCACTGAAATGGCTGAAATACCCTCTGAGCTCAGAGTGGAATAAGGCGCAGAGCAGAGTGGCAAGGGGAGAAAGCTGCAGCATCCTCACCAGCATGGAGGGCAGGGCTGGGGGCAGCTCATCCCTTGCCCCCTCTTCACACCCTCCTCATTTAGGATTGTTTTTCCAGTGCCAGTTCATATTGGTGCAAATGGGATGTGGGAAGAGCTGGGGTGGCCACTTTCCCCCTGGTGTGGGATGGAGGAGCCCAACCAGCATCCCACAGAGCACAAGGGGTCTTTAAAGAGATACTGAAATGTTCACCCATGGAGCAGGGTGCTGCTCCCACCCCCCCTCAGTTTACAGATGGGGAGAGAGGAAATGTGATTTCAGGGATTAAGAAGGGCCAAGCAGCCAGGCAGAAGCTGACCCTGAGTGCAGAAGAAGCTGATTTCCAGGGCTGAATAAGAGGAGGTAGTGGTTCAAAACTTAATACAAGGCAGAAACTGCTTTCTGAAGTTTGGCTGCTTATTTCCAGTTGGCTTATTCCTAACCCCAGTCTGAATCACTCATCTCTGATTCTTTGCATTCTCTTCTTGCTGCTAGAGCCCCTGCAATAGGGCCTGCATTGGCTGTGGGGCTGCATCCCGGTCCTTACCGTGCGCATCCCTATTCCTGGGACTGTGTGGAGCTGTCGGAGGTGTCACAGGAGTGAATTGGTCCCCAGGTGCTGCTTTGAGGGCCTGGCTGACAGAGTGATTGGTGATCAGCAGCTGAACCGACACATCATGCCACAATTAGAGACCTCCTGGTAAGAGAGAGATTCGAGCCAGGCGAAGACAGAGCCGGTTACAAATATTGAAGGAGCTGTTAAAGATGCAAACTCATTATCTCCCAAGCAATCCAGCAACATTCACGAGGACATTAGTGCCAGAGCAGCACATAGGAATGATGAATGTCTCCACTGGCGTGGGTCTTGTGTTACGGAGTGGACAAAAAGACAAGCTTGATGACAAACACATCCCCAAACATGGCCATCATCCCAATTACCGCCTGGGAAGAAACGCGAGGGTGAGGAATGGGAATGGGGGAAAGGGGTAGACATGAAGTGGGGCAAGCTGTGGTCTGCTGCAAGGGGCTGAAAAGCCAGAGGAGGTGCTGGGATTGAAGAAGGAGCTCTCATGGCTGGGTCTGTTGGGAGAAGAGAGCTGGGATTCGCTGCTCTGGTCTCCACTGGCTAATTATGTTGCCACGTTCCTCCTGACTTGTGAGACTCAGCAAAAGCCTTGGCGAGGGTTGCCTCAGAGGTCAACAGAACGGATCTAATTGCATTTCCAGAGTATTTATGTGGCTATTTTCAGAGTGCTTTTTCCATACCCCTGGAAAAATGCAGACCAAAAGAGCAACAACCTGCTCCTCCATAGCCACCGTGCCGGCAGGGAAGGTGGTGCTGCCACCACATGTGGCCACATCTGTGATGGAAGAGGTGCCACTGGCATGCTGCTTCAGAGCCCTTATAGCTGGGGTATTTAAATCCTCCTGCTCTGGTGAGGGGGAAGCCCAGATTGATTTCTATCCAGTTGTGTGGCTCTGTCTCTGCAATAACAATGTGCTTAGTGTGCAGGATGAAATTAATACAGAGCCAGATTTACCTGGGGAATATTTGAGCGAGTTTTGAGCTGAATATTCGTTGGAATTTTCCGCGCTCTGATGTCTTGCTTGGCCCATCATGGCTTCAACCGGGCAGCTGGGTCAGCTCTTCCTGGGGCAGCACTCGCTGTGTCAGAAATGCTGGAAATATCCCAACAGAAAATCTCCACCGCATTTTCTCTGCAGCCTGCGAAGCAGTGGACATGATGTAAATCCTGCTCTCTATCCATGCTGTGCTCTGAGGAAAGAGGGGCTCGGCTCCTGTCCCCTATCCCATGGGTGCCATGCGGGGCAGAGGGATGCGGGAGCACTGGGGGGGTCACAGCCCTGCACTGGAAGGTGCCTGGCAGCCCAGAGCTGGGTCAGAGCTGCAGGACATGGGTGGAATCAGCAATTGTAATCAAAGCTGACCTGGAGCCAACTCTGTGGAGAGCTCTCAATGCTACAACTAAATGAGCCGGTGGCAGATTCAGGCAAGACTAAAATTAAACCAGGTCAGGTACAGGCAGTATTGTGAAGCCAGGAGCCAGGGTTTCAAAGCATCTCTCTCCAAGAGAAGGAGAGCAGGGGAAAAAAAACCTTCCTGTGTATGCAAAGGACATTTCCAGAGCTCTAATCCTTTGATTATAACAGATCTTAAGAGAAACCATGCTACTCCTTGAAGGTGGAGGAAAAGAAACCCAATGTAACTGCTCTGAACTGGTAGAAGGTGAGCTGCTAATAATCAGCAGAGAAGAATGATTGATTTATTGGATGTGATACATTTAATGATGAAATACCAACTGTCTTTCCTAATTCCTGTGTCTAATGGAGGAGAGCATAGTAAAAGCACCAGTGTATACTGGTGCAGTAAGTACTGGGATGGGGCAGCAGGTATTTCTAGGAGTGCAGTGGACATGAGCAAAATGCGATGCTAAGGGCTGCCAGGAGGGGATGTGGCTCACGGGCTGTACTGCGGGAGAGGGGCTGCCATAGTGGAGACTAAAAATACACCCCTGGAGACAGCTTCCCTTGCTCAGGACTCTATAGGCTGCAGACATTCACGCGGGTGTGTTATGGGTGTGTAGGTGATAAAATAGAGGCTGGTTTGGTTGGGTACCACTCCAGCGGGTCTGTGTCCCTTCGGTGTCCTGCACCAAGAGCCTGTCCCCTCGTACCTGGGGGACCAGGTATGCTCTTCATCTCTGAGGGTGCTTCTCAACAAGCCAAGAAAGATGAAGGCTGGGAATGATATTGGATTCTCCCTCCTCTGCTGCTGACAGACACAGTGATGGGGAAGAGAGGGCAACAAGGCTTGTCTGGATTAAGCAGCCGGATGGAGAGCCGTGTTGGTGAGGAGCATTGCCTGCTTGTGCAGAGGCTACAGCAGTGTAGGGCACTGCAGAGGGGCCTTGCTGATGTCCCCTCCCTTGGTAGCCTTTGTCCTGGCTGCACTGCTCAGCACTGCAGGCACCTGTCCTGCTCTTCCTGCTCCTCTGGAAGGTGGGTATAGCACATCTGCCTGTTTGCTGGGGGTGACTTTTTGGGGCTGTGCTGAGCAAAGACCTTTGGATGAACCAGGATGGTGTCTCTGCACCTGAGAATGGTGTTACAGCTCCGAGGGGCAGGAAAAGCCTGTAAGGAGCTACAAAGCACACTCGCACTGGATGCGGGGCCATGCGGGGCTTGTCTCCCACCCTTCCTGTGGGTGCTCAAGACATGGGTTCAGCCACAAGGCAGACAAGGGGTGACGGCTTGGCTCTGCTCCTGGAGCCGCACGTGCCGCGGCCGGTGCAGTAGCAGAGCCCGTAGCTAGATGCCACTCAGTACTAAGGTGTCATTATTTTTTATGAACTAGGAGAACGTTCCCTAATGCGCCCGGGAACATTATCGTAAATAATTAAGTCTGAACTGCAGTTGTCACAGTAAATGAACAAAAGATTGTTCTGCTTCCCCTGTGCCAAGCACGAGCCACGGGCTCCGCGTCCCCCTGGTTTTTTACTGCCAATTCAAGGAAAGCAGCGAAGAAAGAACGGAGAGGACGTCTCCAGGTTGGGAGTGGATCTAAAATCCCTCCAAAAAACGCAGCCATTGGGTACATCGGATCCATTTCTCTCTCTGTGAGGGCTTGGGAAACAAGATGCCAGAAGCTCCTTATGATGGCTCCAACCCCAAATGAACACAGGGTTTGGGCTGAATATTCACCTTATGGGATCAAGGATTATTTGCAAGCAGATCAGAATGAGCAAGCTGAATGGAGCTCCAGGTATCTGCCAAACGCAAGGACAAGCCACAGGCCATCAGAAAACCCAACGCACAGGATTTGCAAGTCCTGCCTTAAAGCTCAAATCCCTCCTGAGCTGATGGAGCACTTCCATGTGTGCTTCAGTCTGAGGAATGTAACAGGGCATGATTAGAGGTTTATTTATGTAACTGAGGTTTTGTTTAGCTCTTGGTCCATTGCACAGGAGCGTCTTGGTATGCTCCTAAAGCAGCTGCCAGAGCCAAGCAGACAAATGATGTCTCTGAAGGGTGGGAGCCAATGGCTTGGTGTGGCCAGGATTGCAGGAGGGCAAAATACAGCCTGTGTCTGGGGATGATCACTCCTGTATATCACAGGGATGCTGTGGCTGCCTGGGCTGAGCTTTGGAGAGCATCGCCTGCCCCTTCTGCTGCCTTGATTTAAGGCTGCTGGTGTTGAGGAGGCAGTGATTTGATGACAGATCCTGACAGCTGTGATGCATGCCTGAGGTCCATGTCCCGCCTCCCTGTATCTTCCTGTGTGGGTCTTAATTCAGTGCAAAGTGGGGACGTGTCACTCTGCCTCCTCCTGCATGACTGAGCTTCACCCTTCATCTTCCTCATGGCTGTGGGGGGAAGGCTGCTGCTTGCCCAGTGCTCAGTGCTGGTGCAGGTGAAGGTGTCACCTTGCCTTGTGCAGATTGCATCGTGGAGGGGATAAGAGCCAGTGTCAGCAAGGCAGGGCCCTGGTTTTGATCAGCCTCTCGCTGCTGTGCCTGCCCAACGTGCTGCTGGCCTCCAGCAAGAGAGAGCAAGGGGGATAATAATCGCTTTCCTCCGCTCCATCCCAGGTTTATGGTGCACAACGTTTTAAAAGGGTGAATAATTAAGTGCTGCTCATAAAAGTGTTGCTTGGCGCTGCTGCCGGGCTCCTCCAGACCAGGAACCAGGACCTGAGTGGAGGGAGCTGAGATTCATCATGTGCCAGGCACTGGGCTCATCCCATGGGCAGAGGGTCCTGGAGGGGAAAATAATCCCCCCGGTTTGCTCTGCCAAGCGGGATGGAGGCTGTTCGTGTGCTGCATGGGTCCCCATGGCTGGCTGTTTGCAGGCTGTCCAGCGCAGGGGTGTTTCTCTTGGCGAGCTGCAGCCGTGGTAAATAACCCAGAACGTGTGTGTGATGGATGTCCGCTCCCCGCCAGCCTGTCTCCCAAGAGTTATATTATTCCCTTTCCCACAGCTCAGCTGTAAATTCGCTGTGATTCATGGCAGATCCCTCTGCCAAAGCCTTTTACAGCCCTGGATGGGCAAGGATGGGGTGGAGGGCACGGGTTGGCCTGTGCCAAGCAGGAGGATGCTGCTTGCCAGGACGTCGGGGCTTTGAGGGCTAAAGCTGTTGTGTGGGGACAGAGTGGCCCTGAGGGACATCAGGTGTCCATGCATCTGGGTGGGATGGCTCCTCTTCCTCCAGCCTCTGTTTCTTGTCCCTGGCAATCCCTGGGATGCTCCTCTCAAACCCAGCACATCCTAGAAGATGCACCAGCAGAAATATTCCTGGCTTGATCCAACAGAGAAGCATCAACAGCATGGCGTGGGTAAGCCAACCTCCACAGCCCTGCAAGGGTCCTCTTCTGCTCTGCAAAGTTCTGTCTGGAAGGAGCCATCCCTTGTTCCACTGTGTCATGTCCTGTCCAGCCATCAACCTGGCTGAGGTGGTGGGAGCCCACACAGGGGATGATTCCTGGGCTTGGGGTGCACTGATGGAAGATGCTGTGGCACCACAGGCATTGAGGAAGGAAGAAGCAACCCTGCAAAGAAGCCTTCAGATCTTGTCCACAGCCAAAGGATGGGGTGTTCCCACTCCCACCCCTGACATCTGCCAGAAGCACAGCTCCTGCAAGCCATCGGGTGCTGCTTTTGTCCCTCCCTTGGGCACAACGTTTCCCCCTGCAATGGGATCAGGGTGGGAGGATGCTGGGCCAGGTCCCAAGCTCCCTGTCCCAGCAAAGGGCCCTTTGTTAGTGCTGTTTGCCTGCTCCCTGCCTCTTTCCCTCTCAGCCCTGCCTGGGAGCTCCCATCCCACTTGGTTTGGTGCTCAGGGGCGATATCCTGTCTGCAATATTAAGACATGTAGCTGTGTATATACATATCCCCCTTTAAATCAGCCAGACCCTGTGGTGGAGGCTGATAAATCCCCTGGGCACTTACAGAGGCAAATCTAATTACTTCTGATGATGTCCATGGGCTATGGGCAGGGAGAGGGGTCTTGTTTGGCCTCTTTTACCCACCAGGGAGCAGGAGAGGACGCTGTGGGACCCTACTCAGCATCACAGCTCAGTGGCCACATCCTGGTACCACTGAGTGGGGCTGAGAGCAGGGGAATGAGCTGGGAGGGAACAGAAAGCTGCCAGCCTGCAGCTTGATCCATCAAATCCAGGCATCTAAATGCATCAAAACACTGGGGCTGTATAAATATCCATTTACAGGCAGTGGAAGTATGTCTAAATAAACCAAAGGAGGCTCGACAGCTCATCCGGGGTGAGAAACACCTGTAAATCGGGAGGTTTCTGTGACGCATTGCTGGAGCGCACCCATTCCTGCTTGGAAAAACAGTTTTGAGGTATTTATCTCTGGTGGTTGCCTCTGGAGCTGGGAAAGCAAAGCAGGGCTGGGTGCTGCAGTGAGGGGCAGAGTGGATGCTAACAGTATGGAGTAGGGCACCGGTGGTGCTGGACAAATGGTTGGGGCCTGTGTCTGCCTGTGGGATGCAGACCCACTGCAGTGTCCTGCTGCCGGCATAGAACCATGCAATCCCAGCCTGGTTTGTGTTGGAAGGGACCCTAAAGCTCACCCAGCTCCAGCCCCTGCCATGGGCAGGGACCCCTTCCACTAGAGCAGCTTGCTCCAAGCCCCTGTGTCCAACCTGGCCTTGAACACTGCCAGGGATGGGGCAGCCACAGCTTCTCTGGGCACCCTGTGCCAGCGCCTCAGCACCCTCACAGGGAAGAGCTTCTGCCTTCTATCCAACCTGAACTTCCCCCGTTTCAGTTTGAACCCATCACCCCTTGTCCTGTCACTACAGTCCCTAATGAAGAGTCCCTCTCCAGCACCCTGTAGCCCCCTTCAGACACTGGAAGCTGCTCTGAGGTCTCCATGCAGCTTCTCTTCTCCCGGCAGAGCAGCCCCAATGTTCTCAGCCTGTCTCTCTACGGGAGCTGCTCCAGCCCCTGATCACCCTCGTGGCCTCCTCTGGACTTGCTCCAGCAGCTCCATCCAGTCCAGAAGCTTCCAAGCACTCTGGAGGATGCTGTTTTGCGCAGAGCTGCTGTTAGGGGCAGTGCTGCAAGAGGAGAGCTGCTCTGAGCCCCCCTGGTTTCCTCCCACTGCTGCCCCGGCCCAGGGATGTGGCTGTGAGTGTGGATGGTGTTCCCTGAATGGAACGTCCCTATCCCAGGGGCTTGCTGAGTACCCAAGGCTTGGCACGGAGACGGTACATGGCAAGGTGGGATGCAGCGGTGAGGGGCTGCTCTGGGATGTCCCCGCCACAGTGACTGGTCCCTCTTTGGACTGGGCTGAGGCTCATCCCGTCAATGGGCAGGAGAGGAAGGCCCCTGCCTTGCACAGTGTTCCAGCTCCCTCCAACTTCACCAATGCTGATCAATGACTCAATTTGTAATGCTCCCGTCCTCCTGAGGAGCTTCATTGTCTTTTTTCTCCTCCTTTTCTCCCTGTCACCGGCCATTGCATTTTCATCTTCATCTGCCGATAGTTCACTTTCATTTGACATATTAATCTATGCTTCTTTCTGTGAAGATAACTCATCCCTGCGTGGTGGCAGGAGTGCGGAACCAGTGCCATGCCAGGAATATTTTACTTGCTTTCAAAAGACGGTGGAATAACAAGTAACCAGAGTTGCACTGGTGTCTCCCATCCATTTTAAGAAGCCAGAAGTCCCTGGCAATAGGCTTTGCTCTGGCTTGTGGGCGGATGAGGCTTTGAAGCAGGAGCTGGGGGACACAATGCCAAAGTGGGGCTGGATGGGACCCCCTTTATCACTACACACATGAGTTGGCACTGGACTATTTGGCTGCTGGCACTGGATTCATTTATTCGCTGCTGTTTATCGGGTTTGTGGCTGTTTTTAGTGCTGTTTGTACAAGGAAAGGCAGCAGTGTACAACAGCAGTTATTTTCCTCCATGAGCCCTGAGATGGGAACTGAGCTGATGCCACCACCCCAGCCTTGGAGGTGGTGGGAGCATGGGAGGTACAGCACAGGGTGGCAAATGTCACCTAAAGGAAGATTTGACAACAGAAGCTGCCCAGCTTCCCCTGCACTGAAACCACACAGCTCCGGGGATGTTTCTGGTGCCGTTCCCTTAAACACATAAAAGGGTTCCATCTGGTTTTAATTATTCAAATGAGCTGACAGGGTAATCAATATAAATGGTTAAATGTGGCCAGGATTAGTGTCAGCTCTGCTGCAGCAATGGGTGAAAGCTCTGGAGATGGGGGCTTTGCTGCTGGGGGTCCCTCTTGCCCACGGGGAGAGGTGGCACCATGTCCTGGTCATGGGGGGAGCAGATGTGCATGGCCACTCTGGCAGGGTTTAAACAATAACCTGTGGTACTGCTGGCTCTGGCTGCTTCTTTATTGCTAATACACTGCTAATTGTGCTCTGCTGTGTGGTAATACTCATAAAGCAAGATTTAGAAAGCAGGAGGCTTAAGAGAGTAAATCAAGGGCACGGCACAGCCTTGGCAATCTGCATCGCCATCAGCCACAGCTCCCCAGCACTGGAGAAGGATGAGGGACCCCATTGTGGGGACCTGTGTGCAGGGACCCTATTGTACCCTTGAGCTGCAGGGGTGGGTTGCTGCACCCTGGGGTGGCAGCCCCAGCTCCTCCCCGGTGCTGGAGGACCTGTGTCCCCGTGCCCTTGCCAGCAGCAAAGTTTGTCCTGACTCCTTTCTTCTCTTGGGGCTGCTGGTTTTTTGCTGTGTTGCCATGGAAATGCTGCCTGCATCCACCCCTGGTGCCTGCCTGCCTGCATCCATCCTTAGTTCTTGCCTGCATCCGTCCGTGGTGCCTGCCTGTATCCATTCATAGTTCTTGCCTTCATCCATCCCTGTTCCTGCTGCTGCTGAGTGCCACCAGCCTCCTCCCCTGGGACACTGCTGAAGGGTTTGGTTGGTTTGCTTGGGCCACAGCATCCATCTCCCCAAACACTGGCTAAAGCATTAATAAAGGAAGAAAAGAGGGAAGGAGGGAGGTGAGCACCCTCTGAGTTATTCAATCCATCTCTGCTGGTCCCTTATTGAAGCTGCTGGTGCCCATGCCCCTCTGCGTGACTCGGTGTACATGTCCTTCATCAAGCCTCAGAGCAGGGTCAGGCAGCGACAGGCACTGTAATGAGAAGAGCTGGAGCTGCTGTGTGTGGCAGGAGGGAGGTGGTAACAAAGGCTGGGGGGGGATAGTGATGTCCCCATCCCTACCACCAGCCAGCCCCAGGCTTTCTAGGCTTTTTTAACCCTGAGCAATGGAAGAGCCAACT